ATCATAATGATTCCAAACTTTTGATTGGCAGTGTATGTTTGCATGCTCTTGCACTCATATTTTTTTGTAACAAATCCGTGGCAGTCAAAAATGGCGCTCTTTGCATGTTATATTTGGTGGTAAGTCCCAAGGGATGAATGCTTCAGTAAAACAGAGACATGGCATCTCCTCCTCTGGAGTTGCAGTGATGAACAGATGCTGCTAGTCACATTAATGACACAAACAAACAGTAAAATGTATTCCACGGTAAAGGTTTGGCCTCTCAAAATAACAAGGTATATTTGAACAGGAGCCTCTGTAACAGTGATGTCACGTTTCCTCATCTCTCCTCTGGCTCTACAGGACGGGCATGTTGCCATGGTGATGGCGCAGTACCACAGTCCTCCAAATGTACTAAGATTATCCCATGGTCCCGTCTGGTGGGGGGAATCCTGTTTACGCTCTAGATCTTTTTTGGAGGGCACATGTATGCCATCTTTCTCTTTTTGCTTCTTTGCAGATGCAAAAGTGCAGCATTTCCACTCCTCCCACCTGCAGTGCCGTAAACCCCCTGAGAGGTTTCAGAAGGGGGTGATGGAGACTGTCCTGTGGTGTTTTTGCAGTGGCGCTCTGTGTCCCATGTTTTGGTTGCAGTGGAAGACACGGATCTTTAAATGTCCTGTGCCGGGAGACCGCTGGATTACGTTGCAGTGAAGGTCATGTGACAGTGACAAATCCAACACAAGGGTTCTGCTGAGTCTGATATTATTGTACCTGATGTGCTTCATCCTAATACCTTGTGGTCAAATCTTTGACCCACAACCAGGTCATTTACTGTACAAATACACCATCAGCATCATCATATCCAATGAAGAACATGTAGGGCTCATTCTTGGGTCATACAAAATCTCTGGACTATAGAGAATATCACTGCTAATTGTTTATATCATCTTCTTTAAATACTATGCATGCATTCCTTTAATGATTTATGTTAATTCTTATTTTAATCTATGTTTTTTTTTTTCATGTTTACTATATATGGCACTTGAAATCGCAAAAGTTGTTGCCATAATGCTTTATTTATTTTATTATTTGTTTTTAATTTTCATTTATGCATTCGACAACATATTTACGTTTTCGAAAGATGTGTGGCACTTCAGAAAAAATCTAAATCTAGTGTGTGTATATGTGTGTGTGTGTGTGTGTGTGTGTGTGTGTGTGTGTGTGTGTGTGTGTGTGTGTGTGTGTGTGTGTGTGTGTGTGTGTGTGTGTGTGTGTGTGTGTGTGCGTGTGTGTGTGTGTGTGTGTGTGTGTGTGTGTGCGTGTGTGTGTGTGTGTGTGTAAATCAAGATTAGTACATTTCCTCAAAGGAATACTTAATATATTACACCCTCAAATCTCTAATATTTTACTGCAGCAAAAAAAATGTGAAACTATATGCAGTGATATTTTCGTATCATTGAGATATTATAAGTTTTGTAATAGTTTGAAATGGTTTTTATTTTTTATTCTAATTTTTATTAATATCTATATAGTTTTTTTTATGAATTTTTATTTAAGTTTTAGTAGGTTTCCTTGTCAACTGGCTGTAATAAAATAAATGTACGTTTTTAACATCTTATTTCATTTAGTGTTTATTGGATTTCAAGTAACAAAAATGTTTTGTATGATTTTGTTTTAGTTTAGTTTAACTTTAAGGGTTTGTTTAAATCACTAACCTGAGTCTTAGCCGCACTGATCTAAACCAGACAGTTTTGCTCAGGTGTTTTGCACCTATATTTATGGGTGAACACCTGTCCTTCCCTCCACGGGCTGCTTTTGGTTATGTAACTCTGTCACTAAGTTACTGTGTGTGTGTGTGTGTGTGTGTGTGTGTGTATGTGTGTGCACAGACACAGCTACTGATGGGTTAACTGTGTCTCTGTCATTGCATTAATTTTTAAAAACTGTGGGCATCTATATGTCAGCTCCTCTTACAGTCAGCAGGAAAGCGAGCAGCAGGGTTGAAGTCTCAGCGCTAGATGATAGTTACAGAGAAACAATAAAAGGTGAGAGGCCGACACGCGCTTTCATGCATGCGCTCGGACACTATTAGCTCAAATGTTCAGTTAAAGGGAGACTTTGTTCATTTCCCTCATCATTTACTCACTCAAATGCAGCACACGAGTCATATAGACTACTTTTATGATGCGTGAATGATCCTTTTTGGAGCTTGACAGCGCTTTCATCCCATCCATTTTTTTGAAGAAAGCAACCTTTAAAAGGCAGATTTTGTTACCAGAAGCCAATGAAGCGATGCGAAGTGATCGGTCTCCAATGCCAGTCTGCAGTGAACTGTGGATGCTGATTAAAAGGTCATGTGTAGGTTATTAAATATCAGCAGTCTCACCATGAACATCCTCCAAGTTTTTCTCAAGATGACGTGATGTGGACACACTTAATGTGAAATGATTTGAATGAAATGGTGCAGAAGGGACAGAACAAAGATGCATTTTGCAACTACAGCAGTCTATATGTTGCGCTTGAGGCATTGAAGAACTTTCAATCTGATATCTCTGTCTGCATTTGAACATATAAAAAATAATTAGTTATGCAATTGTATATGAAAGGATGTCATGCAACTCTTTTCAGGTTTAAATAATTTCTAGGCTGCAATATTTTGGCAATCATCTTTGACTCCATCGGGACAGTCTGATCTTCTAGGCTCATTTGCATATCATAAGCTGATTAAAAATGCCAGTGACAATGTTAGAGTTAAATGAAACATTTTTAAAGCAAATAAATAAAGTGTGGACTGGGTGTACAGCTTTACTGTTATCTTCTTCTGTTTCAATGTTGCATGCATGGTGATTTTTTGCAGTCCTTCTTTAACTTTTGTTGTTTTTTTGCTTTTAGTGCAACACCCTTCATATAGAGAGAAACAATAGTGTCAGAGATCACTGGCTCAACGAGGTCAAGTCAAAGGTCGTTAGGTTTTATAGAACCTCTACAAAAATATTTTGACAGTTACAGTTTTTCTCAGTCGCTTTGGTGCCTTTCTCACATCACTATTTACATTTGCACAGATTTTAGTCATTTGTGCACATCATAGTAGCAGTTTCTCTTTCCGTCCAACAAATTGCAAATGCTTTTGGACATGCATCAATTGCTTTCATACAACTCTCTGCTGTTTTATAACAGTATCATTTGCTTATGTCAGTCACAATTAACTATACTTGTGAATGCTGAATAGTCATTCCATATAAAACTATAGTCCTCATTTCATTGCTTGAGTCATCACATACAAAAATGTTGAACTAGTTGTCAAAATCTGTCAAAAAAAAAAAAAACAAAAAAAAATCTTTAAAAAAAAAACAACCTTTTTTTATCCTAAATTGAACAATTTCTCTCAGGTGAACCTCAGCTTTCACTGATGAGAAGGGATGTGCATGAATGATTTACAGTACTGTGTATGTTGTATGTTCAGTTTCAATATGTACTGCAATATTGTTTGTGCACAGCTCTACACAAAGGGAGTTTATGTTTGTTGTAAATAATGGTGTATTTTTTCTTTTGCACAATGCTGTGAACAAATTAGAATTGCAAAGAGCATATGCAGTAAAAATGTGAAACATACATATTCAGTGTCTTGTACTCTTTACCTCACTAAATACAATAATGTGTAACTTTACTGTAGTTTTCAAATGGCTGTGTAAATAGTATGTGCTGTCTTGAGCATTTTCAGGTAGTGTCACCAAGATCTGACTTTTTTGCATTGGAAAACATTTACAGAGTAAACTGTCATAATGAAAACATGACAAAGCCATTTGACTATCTTGTTCATAAACTATGGTGTCAGGACTTTTCATCTTGACGACACTGACACTTTCATTGACATGAATACTTGCTTTTGAGGAATGATCTATCCATTTTGTGCAAGTGACACACTTTTGCAGGTTATCAACTTTTTGCAGTTTGTACAAATTGTTTTGAGAACTGCATTAACTGTTGTGCAAATGTAAATAGTGATGTGAGAAATGCACCAAAGTGACTGAGAAAAACTGTATTTCAAAAAGATCAAGGCTTTTTGCTAATGGGACTTATTGTTTATAGTTTAATATGACACTTTCTGCAATTGCTGTGAATTCAATGGCATCTACGGCGAAACAACCTTCAAATCTAAGCTGAGTAGTTTTTGCTGCGTTTTTGGCATCCATGCCCGTTTCTTCTAATCACACAGAACAATGACTCTATTTATATTCTTACAAATTTGATAGCGGCCCAGGAATGCTTTAACACACCACAAGAAATGTTTGAAACTTTGACAGAATCAGTTTCAACAAAAATGTTTCCAAGTTTGTTTTTATTTTAATAAACACACAGAAGACAGTCTTTCCAAACTCTCAACTTCACCCGACAGACAGACAGATAGATAAATGGATAGATAAATAGATAGACAGATGACAGACAGACACACACACACACACACACACACACACACACACACACACATAGACAGACAGATAGATATAGATAGATGGATAGATGAAAGACAGACAGACAGACAGACAGACAGACAGACAGACATATAGATAGATAGATAGATAGATAGATAGATAGATAGATAGATAGATAGATAGATAGATAGATAGATAGATAGATAGATAGATAGATAGATAGATAGATAGATAGATAGATAGATAGATAGATAGATAGATAGATAGATAGATAATGTTTCGTCGCAAACGCTTTGGCGGGAACCTCCACCCCGGCCCACTCTGGAACAATGGCATTCCCCCCTAAACGATTTCCGGCAGCCCCTCCTTTTGCGCTCGCCGTTGTCCTGGTGGCATATTTCCGAACCCTACTATGACCAAGCCTTGGCTCATGAATATTAATGAGCTAATGTGCACGCCAACGTCTGCTTTCCAACCAATGAGAATAGCCCTACAGGCGGAACAGCACGGTACGTAATTAATATTCATGCGCCCCGCCTATTCCATAGTAGGATTAGCAAAGCGCGACCTGTGTTACGTGCTGACGCCAGATGTATATGAGCGCACGCGGCGGGATCTTTTCCCCTTTTAGCGCCATCAGAGCGGGAGTCTCGCGCTGTTCACTGCGCAGTAGCATCTCCGCCTCAGACAGACCTCTACTCGTCGGCTCCTCGGTAAGGACATATACCGCTGAGGGACTGCATGTCCGTGTTTATAGACGTCTTTTTGTTCACACTAGAAGATAAAGTACGACTTAAGTCGAGATTTAAGTCGTCAGGATTGGATATTTAGCGCGTGAGCTAACCGTTCAGTCAGCAGCCATTGAGACAGACTCCTCCATGATGGAGATGAAAATGGCTGTTCGTTTTTTAAATATCGTTTAAATCCAAGTTTACCCGTTAAATAAACTGCTGTTTTTAGCGTTTAAACGTTTCTTTGTTGACAGACTTGATTGGTTACAGTTGTTAGAAACGTTGTCTTGATTGTCTTTTCTCGTGTTGGTGGATGATGGTAACGTTAGTTGGTCTGATCTGGCGGGTAAGTTTTTTTTTTTTTTTTAGGGGGTGTCTCATCACGTTGTCGGGAAAATGGAAATTAAACCAATTTATTTAATTAAACCGTATTTTTTAATGAAAGTCTAATGGAGTGACGTAAATATGGCACATGTTCGGTCATGATTAGGATAAAATTATCTGATGTTTTTACGTATGCTATTTAAATTCAGCTTACTCTAACGTTTTCCTCATAAGCCTGAATCGTTGAATGGCTTTGGTAATTTCACAAGTTTTCTCTTGTTGTGAGTGTTTGGTTATAAGGATGCTGTGCTGCTAACAGCTTTAGCCGGTGGGTCTGTGGAGGAAACACGTGGTGATGTGGCCTGGTGAGAATTGACCAATGCACTGACTCGTGGATCAAATTCAAGATCATTAACCCAGTTTAAGAGTTAAACAGCTGTTTTAAATGGTAGCTTTAGAAATGCCTGGACCTAGTTGGTTAGTTTGATGTTTAATTCGTCACATCTGTATGAGATCTGGCTGGTTAGTTGCCAGAGGCTCTTATTGGATAGAATAAAGCTGTACTATTGAAGTCAGCCAGTAATATTCAATTTTCTCTTTTAATTTGTATTTTTGTCTGGCTTATTCTTTGCAAGTCTTATGTTGCAATTATTAACACGTTTATATGATTTTTGCATTAGAGTTTGATCTACAGTACAAAGTCTGTAATGCTAATCAGAATTTATTTGATAAAAAATACAGGAAAAAAACACTAATATTGTGAAATATTATTAAAATAATGGCTTTCCATTTTAATATAATTTATATCTTTGATACAAAGCTGAATTTTCATCAGCCATTACTCCAGTTTTCAGTGTCACATGATCTTTCTGAAATCATTCTGATATACTGATTTAATACTAATACTTATCAATGTTGGAAAGTTGTGATGCTTTTGAAACCTGTGATCCTTTTTTTCAGGATTCATTGATGAATAAAAAGTTAAATAGAACAACATTTATTCAAAATAGGAATATTTTCTAACAATATCAATCTTTACTATCACGTTTTATCAATTTAACATCCTTGCTGAATAAAAGTGTTGATTTATAAATAAAAAAAAGAGAAATTACTGACCCAAAACTTTTGAACGGGAGTGTATATTGCATTGCATTTCAAGGTACACATTTACATTCTTATCAGTTCTTGCTATCCCTGGGAATTGAACCATGACTTTGGCGTTGCAAGCGGCATTGCTCTACTGTTTGAGCTACAGGAAAGTTATGTAAAGCTTTTAACTTGTGTATTAAAGGGATAGTTCACCCCAAAATTAAAATTGTCGTCATTTAGGCTACTCGCCTTCATGTTGTTTCAAACATATGAGTTTCTTTCTTCTGTTGAACACAAAATAAGATATTTTAAAGAATGAGGGAAACCAGACAATTGACGGTAGCCAATGACTTCCATAGTTGGGGAAAAAAAATACTAGAAATAAATGGCTACCGTCAACTGTCTGGTTCTGATTGTTTAAAATATCTTCTATCTGACCATTTTCATTTTTAGGTGAACTATCCCTTTAATTTGTGACGAGACGGGCTTCCCTCAGTCATGAAATAACAATGAATTGTGATTTTTAGGTGTGGGAAAATCATGCACTTTCTAGTCTACTTTGTAGACCGTAAATTGCAATTTATATGAAAAAGTCTGTGGTGAATCTGTGGTGAGTCTTGGAAATTTGATGGTCATAAGGTTTGGGAACCTTAGAGAGGCTTTTTAACAAGTGCATTTAACCTTTGCTCCCAGGTCGGATAGCTTTTATTAGGATTAAAGGCGTGCTGTCAGCTTTCACTGCTGACGAATGGTTATGAGAGTCTGGAGGAAACCTGCCAGGAACTTTGTCCCGGTATCGTGACGCGCCATGATCCGTAGCTGCCATTGTTTGGGGAACTCTTGTGTGTCTGTATTGACAGGTTTCAGCTGTCTGATCTTGACGCAGACAGAAAGAGGAAGAGATTAACCTTCAAATCTGTCAAGAATGGATGGTGTCAGGTCTTCATGTTATTGATCTTCTACAGGCGAAGAGCCTCCTGTCTGTAACGATCAGCTCTTGAATGAAGTTGCTCAGTGTTGCCGCTGGAGGTCTGGACGTGGGCGTCCGAGGTCGTGTTTGATCCGACTGGCTCATAGACTTCAGATTTGGAGGCGGTGGAACTGGCTCGTATGCAGGACTGCACTAACAAATGGATCCAGTCAGATTTCGAGCTGAAGATCGAGGGTTCACACCTTTGATTATTTCTAATCTATCTCAGAAACCCCCAGGGGTTGAGGTTGAATTTCTGCCATTGAAGTTTTTTAGCGCGAGGATGGCAGTGTGTGCGAGTTTCAATGCATTTGCATCTCAAAATCCAGTCTGATTGGACATTTGGACACATCTGGATGCTTTTGACAAATGTCCATTACGTAAATAGTTAAACTAGTGCATATTGGATGTCTGAATCACGCCAGTGCAGCGGGTATACTATCACCTGACAGATAAGACCATCAGCGGCCGAATTTGGCTTGAGGCTGTTAAACATAATGGACAGCATTAACATTTTCCTTTCTCTTTCTCCTCTAGGAATCAGAAAGGTGAAACAACATGGCAGATCTCGACAAGTAAGTGCTTGTTTGTCTATTAAAGAGCTTTTATTTTAGACTGTGTCAGTAATGGTTTGATCATGTATCATTGCCCAGTTTGACAGCTAATTGGATTAACGCCCTTCTCCTTATCAGCTAAAATCTCTTTATGGCTGTTGTTTGTGCATTAAATGGCACATAATAATAACCCTCTCGGCTGATGCTTGATTAGCTTCACATGAGCAGTGAACTGATCTGTACGGTCCTAACCTCTCTCCTCCCTGTGAGACACCGAGGCCAGCAACATGTGTGCTTTCACCCTCAGTGTGGCATCCCAAGCATCTATGCAATGCCTAACACGTGTTTGCAACTCTACAGCTCTGGGTTTACTCATTCGACACGTGATACAAGCGATCGCTGCGAATCACCTGTTGTTCACCACAGGAACTTCCTGTCTCTTAAGAGCGCCGTATATGTGATGCTGTTTCACATGCACCTGTGTTTTTTATTTCAGCCGAAATGACAAATGGATGCGCTCAGCGCTTCAGGCCCTGCCTAAGTTTTAACTATGTACATAAAAGCTTGAATGCATTAGCAATTTATTTTTAATAGTAAGCTAAGCTTTTAACATTTTCAAAGAAGATCCTCATAATATGATCTCTTTTAAAAGATCTCTTAGGAGAAAGTCATGTTAACCTCATTAGAAGCAAATGCAAGCACAATATTTAAGATTTGCAAAGTTGGTTGGTAATTGTTTAAAGATGATCTCTTTTTTGCGGTCTACTAGAACAGGTTTTTATACTTGAATGTTTAAAAAAATGGCTCTATGAAGCTCCGCCTTCTGAAAAGCACTGTGCTCTGATTGGTTGGCTGGAGCAGTGTGTTGTGATTGGTCAAGCACTTCAAGTGTGTTTGGGAAATTTCCCAAACACATTAAGTCGAACACGCCTACAACCAACTCAACCAGGCCTCGCCCCCTTTTTTTGCATATGCTTTTGGTAGGAATTATTTAAATGAGTAATATTGTGATGTTCGTTCCCGGAAGAAAGACTAGGCGAGTTCAGAAACACTGACAGTGATATAGAGAATAACTCCCTTTGGAGTGACTTAGTGCTTTATAACTTTGTAGTCATTTTTCATGATCAAACGGCAACAATACACACTAAAGAAAGATGAACATAAAACATAATAGAACCCCTTTAATGTGTATTTGCAGTAAAGACCAAACTGAAATGGACCCAGCAGATATGGAGGATGTTGAAGAGGTGGAGGAAGAGGAGACTGGGGAAGACAACAGTAAAGGTATGACCTTTGACTCTTTCATGCATGTTTTTCTCCTTAAGGTTAACCAAAAGTTTTTTTTTTTTTACCAAGATAAAAATATGGCTGATAACCAATTAAACTAGGCTATCCTCCTCTGCCGGTGCTTGACGGTTCACAAAGGAATTAAAAACTATTGCCACTGATGTTTACTGATAACAAATAGTTCCACAAAGCAACTATCTGTGCATATAAATCCTGTAAAAACAATATATTGTTTGAGTGTGACTACCACTCGAGAGGACATGTTGACTGATCCACTTTATTTGCATTACAAATCATCACAACCAGACCAGGTTTGTGCATCATATGTGGCAGTGATGTCAGATTCTCAAAACCATAAAGCAAATATGTAACAAATAAAAACCATTATAAAACGGCGGTATTTTATCACAAACGATGTGAAAAGTAGGTACAAGTGTAGCTTTAATGCTTTTAAAGCAACATCTCGGTCTTGAACCGATTTGCTAAAATGAATCGGAATTCCTCCATTGAGCTTATTGTGTCTTTTATTGTTTCGAGTCCCTTTGCTGTTTTTCTTCACTAGGCTGCTGTGTAGGAAAATTAAATGCGTCTGTCATGGATTCCTATCGCTGACACACACACACCTGACAGTCGATCACAGTCATTAGGAAGAGGCTGTGCGCACATTAGCGCTGGCACTTTTTGTGTTGGGTAACGTGATATCAGTCAGTAAACTCAGTGACCTTAGCTGTGTTTAGCAGCTGGGCAGAGTATTAGCGCAGCTCAAAGCGTGTTTAATATCAAGTAATACGGGCATTAGATGTGTGCTTGCTCTCTAAAGATTGGTGCTCTGTCGCATTGACCTCTCCTGTGTTTTCCGCTTTATTTTTGGGATGAAAAGTGCATCTTTTTTTGACCCTTGGTGAAGAAGGTGCCCTAGTTCTGAGAGTTGTTGATTGGATAATACAGGCATCACACTCCACCCCTGTCATTGTTTGATTCTTCCTGCTGTCATTTAACAGTTATGTTTGTTTGCTCTGATTTTAGCACGTCAGCTGACGATGCAGATGATGCAGAACCCCCAGATTCTTGCGGCACTGCAGGAGCGATTGGACGGACTCGTGGGATCTCCCTCAGGGTACATGGAGAGGTATGTGTGAACGCACCCACACACACACACACACATATCCAGAGCACAACTTCAAATAACTCTCTTGTTTCTCATTGGCTGCATCTGATTTCCCTACTTTGCTAACGCCGAGTGAACTAAGCGTTTCTAATTTTGGCCAGATCCTCTTCTTGCTACTTTGCATCAGGGTTGAAAATTAACGGGGGCTTTGCATGCCATCAAAATGAATAAAAATGCTACAAATTCTAGATATGAGGGGGGAAACTGCCTCTTTATTAGTTTATTTTTAATGAGATTTAATTATTTAAAGTGCTGTTTTCCCTGAATATCAGCACAATTGCAAATGGGATGTTCATTGAATTGATGTATAAAGTTAATATTGAGTGAGTTAAATTTGACAATATTAGGGGGCTTTCACACCAGAGGAACGTTACCATAGTTCCTATTACCAGGGCTCCAGACTAACTTTTCCACTGGTTGCACTGGTGCTACCAACTTTCTCAGTTGGTCGCACCAGCATATGATTTGGTCGCACCTTTTTTTTTTTCTTTTTTTTTTTGCTACATGCCATGGGATTAATCAATGCATGCTGATGAATAGTGGTTTTAATGGACCAAGGCTAGCAAATGCTTTCTGTGTTGCAGCAGAAATACCTGTAATATATTAATTATCATTGCCAAATTTCAGGATTTTCATGGATTTTGGACAGTAATTTTAATCTGTAATTTTAAGCATTTTACAATTGAATTATATACAATCTATCTATTTACATTTGAATCATATTCTATCTATCTGTCTATTATCATCTTTCTATCTTTTAAAAATCATTAAACATTCAAATGTATGCATTACATTTTAAAAGATTAGAGTATTATAATAAACTGATACAGATTTTTCGTTATCAAAGTTTATAGTTGTAACAAAAAGCAGAAATCTCACACTCCTTACCTTCTGCATTTTATAATAATTTCCTTTTCCTCTGTCGAGCGATCATGAGAGTAATCGCTCGACAGAGGAAAATATAACCGCTGAAAAGACGTAGGAGGAAGGGGCTCTGTGTTTCGTGAGACCATTTTTATACGCCTTAATTCATGAATTCGTAATTGGCGCGTTTCACCATAAGTGTGCAATGTGCGTGACGTCTACGTTCGTCAATGAATAAACTGCACGTGTCTTGCGGAAGAACATTGTAGACGGAACTTCTCTCCGTTAATGTCTATGGCGAGTCACGCAGGCACTGGGCTACTCCGCAGCCGAGACAACCCCGGGATAAAATAGTCCGAAAATAAACACTTATTATAGGCGTACCGTAGTGATTCAGAATAAGTCAAAAACACTGTTTGGAAAATGGATTCATGATGTAGCCTACTCGTTCATTTTGAACATAAGTTACGGACTGCAGCAGCTGATACAACGGCGTTCTGTTGCTCAAGCGTCCACTCGCACAAATGCGACCACAACATTTTAACTCGCACATTCTCAAAAAATGGTCGCATATGGGACCAATTTGGTCGCAGTTTGGAACCCTGCCTATTACTATTGGCAGTTGTCCCCACTTTTTGGTGTGTTCGCACCGCAAGTACTGGGAATGATCTTAGTTATAACTTATAAGAACACCTTTTTGGGCACTAAATTAGTTCCTACTTCAGAGTAGGGTCTAACCCAGGATAACAGGAACTACCGGTGACGTAAATGTGTTGATTGGCCACTTTTAAAAAGCTGTGTAGACAGTTTACATATACCCCACGAACATGGAAAATGGCGATAGAACACACATGCAGAAAGCTTATGTTAACAGCATTTACCTGTCGCCTTTGTCTGTGCCGTTGTTTATTTCTCAGCCTCTGAGATGTAGCGCTGCAAGACAAGTTGTCGTAGATATTGTCTCTTTGCCTCTTTTCTCTTTCAATTGCATAACTTATGACTACATTCCATCTCCGTTATCACCAAAACTACGACACACAGAAACACAGCTCCGACCATAGCATCCTCCATGCTCTAGTTGTTGAATGCCTGGCTTAAATGACGTCACTGTTAGCCGACTTGCGTCACTTCAGAGTTCCTATTAGCTGTGCAAATGCCTATAACTACCTGTTATGAAAGCCCCTAATGTCAATATTGTCTGTTTTTGCTTTACAAATGATAATAGTTCCAAACAAATCCACAGCAGAATTGTTTCTAGCAGAACAAATAGTGGTGTTTCATTACTCAATGTATCCAGATCATTTTGATTAATAACTTTTCTTATTATTCTAGTTGAATTTCTTTAAATGTAAGAATTTGGCATAAAAGATGTAAAATGTAAAAACTGCCCTTTATAAAGGTATTTAAAAAAATCTGAAAATCCATTGAAGTGGGCTGATATTACATCATGGAAAAGTTCATTTTTTTCTTGTTTACAAAACTATAATTCTGAGTCATTCATGAATTATTCATTTGCCCCTTGTGACCTCATGTTGTTTTGTTGTCTGCGCAGTTTACCAAAGGTGGTGAAGAGACGCGTTAATGCCCTTAAGAACCTCCAGGTCAAATGTGCCCACATCGAAGCCAAGTTCTACGAAGAAGTCCACGAACTGGAGCGAAAATACGCCGCTTTGTATCAGCCTCTCTTTGACAAGGTGAGACTCATTTCTGCTGTCCATTTCTTTCATCCAGAAGGAATAACGTTGGTTTTATTCTTGTAAAAGGTGCAGTTTAAGATGAAACCTCTTGCTGTTGTGTACCAGAAGACAGTACAGAATGTTAAAGCCGTTATATTGACCTGCTGCTTCAGCATTTCTAACTGTAGCAAACACCATAGTGTTCTCCAGTGCTGAGATCCTGTGGTCAATCGAGGACACGAGACAAACAGCAGCCAAAGAAATGTCTTCCAGAAAATAAAACCTGAGCTGGAACTGTTTATCCTCTCCCATAGCACTTTCTCTCTCCCAGAGGAGTTGTGATGTCTGAGCTCAATTAAAAGACAGGGTTCTTCAAGATATTAAAGCCTGAGAACATTGCTTTAGTTGCGTAAACTATTTAAATCTTACAGCATAAAGTTTGCAGTTTATTCTGGCCAATTGCTAACCACTAGGGGTGTGACGAGATCTCGTGCCACGAGATCTCGTGCCACGAGATCTCGCGAGACTAAATATGACGAGATTTCTCGTCGAGTGAAAAAGCTGTCTCGCGATATCCCCATTAATATTCCACCGCTACACTCACATTCGCCTAAACTATCGTTTTGTTGTTTTTATAAAAAAATAAAAACCATTATAAACTAATGCAAAAGTCTGCTCTGCTCATCCAGCGCGAGTTGCCGTTGCAATCAGTGCAGCACGAATCACAGTTCACTGATCGCGTGACGATGGCGGAGGATTCGTTGCGCAACAGACTAAACGTCTGGTAAATGTCTTATCATTTAGAATGCGCGCTCAGCACCGCTGCTCCCTATACGCGCGGTCACGAATTTGTAAGTGAAAGTAAAACACAAGCTCCCTGATGTGCATTGCGCACAAATTAGGCTGCATACATAAAATAATCCGTCTCCCAATACCCATCTCTGGACTGTTTATTTGCGGCTCTGGTCTCTGTTGGCACTGCGAATATTGAGAGAGCACTGTAACGTACAAAGGACAACAGACAAGGGAGGCTCCGTTTCTGAACTTATAATCGGAACGCAAGAACAACTGTAGAGACAAACAGCCTCGTTTCTCTCGGCCTTTTCCGAACTCACCGCATTAACCCTATAACTGCCGGTGCAAAATAAAACCGCAATTTCACAACAATTATAAAGAGTCTGTGTGCTAACTTTGATTATGGTTGCACTCGCACTTATTGTTTGCACTTAATAAGACTAAGAGAAAACAGTTATTTATTTTTGTTATTTATACGGTTTTTATTTCTCTGTTAAATGTGTGTTAAAAGGAGTTCAGTTAGGAGGTCACACACAGCCTCAATCAGAAGTTCTGAAAGCTCTTAAATGTACAGTAAGGTCTGAAGAGACTAATGTGAAATTATACAGGAGAAAAGCCAGTCAATAAAAACCTTTTACAGTGCTTGAATATTGTTTTCTTTCAATGCATTTGATAATTCATACTCATAAAGTAGACCTGAAATGACATGCATTAGAAGATTATTAGTTAAAACATTGAAAAATGCACCTGCATACTATTTTTCCAGCCATGAATTTTGTCATTGAGGATTTCTGAAAAATTGTGCAAAAATCTCGTCTCGTCTCGTTCTCGTGAACCCAATCTCGTGTCTAGTCTCGTCTCGTGAGATAAGCGTCTCGTCACACCCCTACTAACCACCTATACTATTATATAACACGCACATTTCAATTTGTTTTAGTTAATGATGATAATGCTACTACCTGGACCTAAAGATTCTGTGAATTAGCCTTGTATTGTTTAATGGAAGTTTTGACATCTTAAAATGCTTTTGAACTTTTGTGTCTTTAGCGGAGTGATATCGTGAGAGCGTCATACGAACCCACAGATGAGGAGTGCGAGTGGAAACAAGATGAAGAGGAAGAGCTGACAGTAAGTAAGCAGGTACAGGTGATCCATACCTGCATGCTCTTCAAATGCCACCTCTTATATCATTCTTGTATAATGATTTATTCTGGCATAACTTGACACTGTCTGGCTCTTTGCCTTTATCAGGAGGAAATGAAGGAAAAGGCCAAAGTGGAGGAAGAGAAGAAAGATGAGGAAAAGGAAGACCCTAAAGGAATCCCAGAGTTCTGGCTCACGGTTTTCAAGAACGTCGACCTTCTCAGTGAAATGTTGCAGGTAGGGAGAGAGCGGCCAAACGTGGGCTCGAGGGAGTGATTGTGACCGGAGTAGTGTTCAAAAGCAGGTCGTGCATCATGGGAATTTACAGCGAGTGATTTCTCTTTGGAAAATCTTGGTCTTGTCGTTGCTGCCATCTAGTGATGTGAAAGTGCACCCTGCAACTTTTTTTTAGCTAATTATACAGGCATCATGAAACTGCATCATATGACTTTCCTTCCAAATATTCAGTTTCTATCAGGAATTATCGCAGTTTTATCAGAACATGAAACTTGGGCTAGTTGATTGGATTATTATAGTTAACTAAAATAAAATATTTTAATAAACAAACTTATTTTATTCAAGGTAGATGACAAAGCAACGTTTCTCATTTTCATTTGCTCTTGCGTGCATTTTTTTTTATTATGTGTTTTTTTTTTATTGAGATTAATAAGTGTTTCTGTTTATTTTTTTTCTGTCTAGGAACATGATGAACCAATTCTCAAGCACTTACAAGATATTAAAGTCAAATTCTCTGACGCCGGCCAGCCAATGGTGAGCCTGAAAGTCGTTGTTTTCTGTGTGATGTCTTTAAGCTCAGTTCACTCACTGTTTTGTGTGTTTGGTCTCTTTTCAGAGTTTCACATTAGAGTTCCACTTTGAGCCCAATGATTTCTTCACACAAACAGTCCTGACAAAGACCTACAAAATGAGGTCCGAGCCAGATGAGTCCGATCCCTTCTCGTTTGATGGGCCAGAGATCATGGGCTGCACAGGGTACGGCTCAACTTTCCACTTGAACTCCATTGAGGGCATTGATACGCCAATGTTAACCTGTGAGACTGGAGACTGAATATCTGTGTTTTCAGATGCACGATCGACTGGAGTAAGGGCAAGAACGTCACACTGAAAACCATTAAGAAGAAACAGAAGCATAAGGGACGTGGCACAGTTAGGACGGTCACAAAGACGGTCCCCAATGACTCATTTTTCAACTTTTTCTCACCACCTGAAGGTAGAAAATCCTCAATTATATATTTATTTAATTTTTTATCAGAGTTGTTTTTGCTGATAATGACATGGTCTAAACTCTCTTTTCTTTAATTTTCTTTCCAGTTCCAGAAACCGGTGAACTGGTGAGTAAACCTTTTTTTTTCTTCTTTTTTTTTGGCCATGAACATTTTGTAACTTTATTCTAAATTTGGAAACATTTACAAACAGGTTCTTTATTGGCATTGATGGTTCCATGAAGACTGTTTAACATCCATGGAATCTTTCCATTCCACAAAAGATTCTTTAGAATTTTAAAATGTTCTTTACACTACGAAAAAAAGGCTCTTTTTAAAACTGCTTACTAAAAGATTCTTTGGGAACCATAAATGCTGCTTTAATTTAAGTATGCATGGTGATTCATCTGGGTGAATAATCTGATATTTTGGCCAGTAACCATGAAATCTCGAGGTTATATATCAGTGTCTGATGGTTTGTTTTTGCTGTGTGTTTAGGACGAGGACTCGGAGGCGGTGTTAGCAGCAGACTTTGAGATTGGTCACTTCATCCGCGAGCGCATTGTTCCCAGGGCGGTGCTGTACTTCACTGGGGAGGCCATCGAAGACGACGATGATGACGTGAGTGAGCAAGACATCCTTTGTCATAAAGTGAAATGCTTTATTTCCAAACATCTGACCTCTGTGTTTCTGTTGTGTTCGCCAGTATGACGAGGAGGGAGAGGAAGCCGACGATGAGGTTAGTTTTCATTATGGTGTTTGTTTTTAGCATCCTAACGCCCTCGACTGTTTGTAAACTCTGTGTTTGTAATTTGCAGGAGGGTGAAGAGGAAGCCGACGAGGAAAACGATCCAGACTATGAGCCCAAGGTAAGAGTCCAAATGTCTATCAATGCTCCTCAAGGCAGTCTGATACTGAGATCTCAACATACAGAATACATACGGTCACCTCCAGTCATGAATCTCCGCCTCTCAAATGCTAATTCTCCTGGCAAAAAACATATTCTTTGATTTATTATTTTCTAGTTCATTCACAGCTGTCCTTTCTTAATTCAAGAAAGAAATCCAAATTGAGAACACTATTGTTTTCTTGCCGAGTAGATGACAGACTGCAGTGTTGGCGTCATCTCTGTTTGGCTGTTATTGCAGGAGCGCTCAGACCTCTAACCCTGATTTATAAATACTACAGCGCAGCTCTAAAACTTCATGCGTCAATGTTGAAAATATCCCGCCCTAAAAGGGTCAATTTGCACAGTCCTTTTCCTATTTTTCACTTAATCTGAACATATGCATCAGTATTTGCTCCAAGAGGTCAATGTTCAGGATGGGATTTCTAATGAATGGTTTTCCTCTGGCATTACTGACTGACTTGAAGGGCTGCACGATTTGGGGGGGAAATCTAATTACGTTGTTTTTTTTGTCGATCAATATGGCATAGTAGTAATAAAAATGACTAAAACAATAAGGAATATTACTATTGTAAAAATAGAGCAGTTAAGAAATCAACTACATTACCACTGTAAAAATGGCAATACTTATATTTTTGGTTCTTAATTTCACTCTGAAACACTTAAAATCAAAAATAACAATATGGCTTATTGCGATTATTTCGACTAATCGTGCAGCCTTGCCTCCTTTTTTTATAATACTAGAATATTATACAAATCGCTGTTCTGTGTGAGTGAAGCATCACTGCACGATCTTCTCAGCATCCGAGGCGTTTTTCACAAACTTCTGTCAGCATGTCAAAGTTCTGCTCGTGCATCTCATCCTTTCTTAACCCTCTGGGGTCCTTCATTTCAGAGTCACACTCAGGACCTTCGGGTCCAAATGGGCCGGAAGGGTGGGATTAATTATTTTTAAAAAATCATCTTTTTTTTTTTTTTTTTTACTTGTTTTTATAATATTTTTTCTTTTCTTTTTTTGGTGCTTTGAGAATTTCAAAAATAAAAATGATTTATAATTAATATTAATGCAATAATTATGACCCATTTTTTCCCCATTGAATATAATAGAATTTTTTTTAAATATTTTTTGTAAAAAAATTTTTTAAAGCTGTATTTCATTTTAGAGTCAAGCCTAGGCCTCATGAAAGCAATTTTTGAAATGAGATGGATGCCATCTGGTGGACAAACTGAGCATTTAAAAAATTCAAAACCCATATGTACCGTATTTTCCGCACTATACGGCCCACCGGATTATAAGGCGCACCTTCAATGAATGACCTATTTTAGAACATTTTTCATATATAGGGCGCACCGGATTATAAGGCGCATAAGATACTGCAGTCAAACGTTTGACTGGGTTTGCGTTATGCATCCACTAGATGTCAACAAATGTCAACAAAACAGTCAGATAAAGTCAAACTTTATTAAGCGCTCTGACAACTCCGTTCACTCCCATGGTAACGTTGTTCAAACGTTAAAGGAAAACTCCGGTCAATTTTAACATTGATTGTAAATTTGGAGTGCTGTCAGTACAGATAACAACGACACAAACCGGTGTTGCCTACACAGTGTTATCCTCTTTTTAAAATTTGCACCCTGTTGACTTAAACGGGACAAGTTTTAAACCTGCTTTTAGCCTCTTAACAACCTTAATGTGTCATTACAAGTGCACAGCCATGTGAGTGAACACGGTGAATCTGACTGGAGTAAATGTGAAAGATATGAATAAAAATGTTTATTCAGCCAGCTCACATACCCGTATTTTCTTCCTGTTTTCGGTCGAAGTCCACAGTAGGCGATTGTCGAGTGCGCGCGCGCGATCATTGGTAACTAAGCAACAGTGGAGACTCAGACTGTCAGCCGATGACGGTGCTGTATGGTGTTCTGAGAATATCAGCTCAAATGGATAGTTAATCCGAATCAGATGTTGAACACACGGAGGAGATTTGATCGCGCGCGCGCGAACTCGACAATCCACTACTGTGGACTTCGGCCGTAAACAGGAAGTAAATACGGGTATGTGAGCCGGCTGAATAAAGAGATTATTCCTGCCTTCGTGAAAGCTCGGATCACAGTTGAGACTGATATATCAGCCCAGGCATCCACGATCCATTGGCAGATAGTGGCGCAAGTCGCCCGGCGCTGTCTCCCCGTCTTGGTGAACGCGTGTTCACCATCCATATATAAGGCGCTCCGGATTATAAGGCGCACTGTCGTTTTTTGAGAAAATTAAAGGCTTTTAAGTGCGCCTTATAGTGCCGAAAATACGGTAATCTGAATTTATTAGTGTGTATGTGTATAAAAGTGTGTGGATGTGTCTATTTTGCACTCTTGATGTTTTATAGATTCACCCCTTCACTGTTGTGTGGTTTTTTTCTGGACCGTGGCTGATTTGTAGATTGTACGCACAAAAAAACTCTGTATTTTCACATTTTTGCCAATTTCCCATTCATTTCCTATGCCTATCCAAATGGACCCGAAGGTCCTGAGTGTGACTTTTTTTTTTTTATTTACAACCACTTAGACTATTCAAATCCTGTCCCCAATTTTTTTGGGTGTTCATATACCAAGTAACAACAAAGTCACCAAATTTCGGACCATTCCGATAACGCTATGAAAAAAAAAAAAAAAAAAAAAAAAAATATTTAAATGCTTCGGGTCCATTTGGGCCGAAGGACCCCAGAGGGTTAAAGCATGCACTAAACCACTCTACATTGATGTTCAATTAGTCAAGAGTAGAAAAAGATCGACTTTTGTAAGCGACGACATAATTAACATGTTAACTTTTCAAGCACTTTGGCACCTTGTGAGTTCCTCTCTAAATTTCTCCTCACTAGGTGTAAGTGATGTCTGTAGTAACCCTGCCCTGGTAGGTAACGCTCCTGAATCCGTGTCCCTCCCTGACCCTCCTGTTGCGTTTTGAATCCCTTCCCATGATTCCACCCCATCCTCACACTAATCACTAACACACTCGGTTTTGTTGTGCTTGTTTTTTTTTTCATTCTTTAACCATTGTGAGTTGGCATTAGCATCTGTATTGTTTCTGTATGTTGAAGCATCCGGTTTGCTCTCCAAATTAAACCCTGATTTGATTTGACTTGTTGTCTGCTGGAGTCTTTTCCCGCTGGGGGTGGAAAAGACCGAACGCACTCGTTCTGTCATGCCATTGGTGGAGCCCGGTGTCAGTCATTGCTGTGCCATCCCTAGGGCCCTATGAAACCTCATCCCCCTCATTTTAATGGTTCAATTAAATCATGAAACTTACAATTCAAGAAACTTTTTTTTTTTGGGCTAGTCACTTTAAAGGTGATCTACGTAACTTTTAGCGGCCTCTAGTGGTGATGTTTCAGATTGCAACCAAATTTTACAAGAGTGCTCGTGCTCGAACTCATAGACAATACCGTCTATTACGCAAATATCTTGGCGAATACTAGACGGATTCGGCGAGCACCGAGCTCGTTGGGACCATCTAGTCGAGCTGAAAAGAACCATATAAATTCCATAGTTTTTGGTGGTGTTTTCGCGGAGATATTAGCAGAAAACCATCGGGCGCGCTGCAAAATTGCGGACGCCGGTGACGTCACGATCTCAGAAGAAAATTGCTCGTATCTCTGGAACGCAAAGACCCAGAGAGCTCAAATTCAGGGGAGGAGGTCCCAGGGGAACCCTTGCCCGAACGCTAGAGTGGCGGGCCTCGGGGATGCCCCCTACCGGATCGCCGTTCGCTGGGACCCCCGATTTCGAACGGCTATAACTCGGGGAGCCGGGCGAGTTGGACCTCGGGGGTGGGCTCGTTCGAAAGGCCCCGTCCAGCACTACGAACGATCAGAGTCTTGGGAATATTGATCAAAGATTGACTGAGATATAAGCCGAAAAACGTGTGCCTTTAACCGGACGTAACTCCCTGACCGTCTACAATAGACTGTATATAAGGAGAGAGGCTCGGGAGCGCGCATGCACGTCACATCCGTTGGATTTCGCGGTAAATCCGACCCGGAGACTTCACATAGAAATAGGAATACTGGCCTTCAGAGGTAATAGCAAAACTCGACAAGTGGATCATTTTAATGTGTGATTACAACCCCTTCACACACAGGCAATAAAAAAAGGATTCATTTTAGTAGAAAAGTTACATAGAGCACCTTTAATTCTGTTCCAATTTTCTGGATTCCGTTTTAATGGTTTAATTTGATTAATAATAAAAAATATATTTAATCAAGATATAAGTTTTTAAATAATAGGAACTTATGATTTCCTTTTTTCCCCAGAAATTGTTTCAATGTTTCTAGATTCATGGTTTAACATGAATGTTTATAATTAAATGCAATCAAAAAATGATTCAGGCCGAGGTGTCCGCATCGTGTAAATCATAGGGCCCTGTGTCTCCTCAGTTTGTGGCCGTGTGATTTGATTGGCTGAGGACCCAGCTGTTGGTTTTACAATTGAAATGGGTTTTGCGTGCATGTATTGTAACTCTCCCTCCTTCTTTTGGTGCTTTACAGAAGGATGCCAACCCCCCAGAGGAGTGCAAACAGCAGTGATGGCGGCGCCCGCCTCCTTCAGGATCCCCTACACTGTAACGGCTTCAAACAAACATAGTTACTTACCGCCTTACAATGTTTTGTATTTTTCTTGGTAGAAATAATTGAAAAATAAATAAAAGGGTTTCAAGATTTTTGTTACAAAAAAAGAAAAACAACTCCTATTGGGAGCCGTTGCTCATGACGCATAGTATTTTACTAGACCGGTTTCTTTCTTTCGTTTTCCTTTTCTCTCTGTATCCATGGTTAGAATGCAGAAAATCCCTCAAAGCATGACACTTGTTTCTTCACTGCTAAACTAGTTGGGTTCTCGTGAAGTCTTTTGTATTGCTCTTAGACAACAGCTGTGGAAAGACTGTCCAGTTTACAGGAAAAGTGATTCCTTTACGCTCTGAGCAACCAAAGCAGAGGCACGAGACCGTCCGTCTCGACAGGGTGGCACAAAGGTGCTCGTGTGTTCAAACCCCCGTGTGTAATCAGGCTAAATCATTTCTCGGTTAAAACATTCCACTATTTTTCCGCTTAAGGTTCAAAGACTTCAAAGTGCAAACTGTGTTTTGTCGGTGGTGACTGTACATTCCACATCTGTGTGAAGGAGTCCGTCCTTCAGTAGACGCTCTGCTTGCATGACTGTTTTTTTTTCTTTTTTTCTTTTTTTTTTTTCTTCTATGAGCACTTTGTACTTTGTCATGTGTTGGTAGCGTCTCTTTCCAACGTCGATTAGACCAAGCGCTTAACGTTACGCTGGCTTGCCGTTATTCAGGTGGGTTCTCTGCTCCATGCATCTCTCCAGAAGGCACTTACAATGATCCCAACGACCTCATTGGAGGATTAGACTTAGAATGCGAGAACCTGATTGGAGGAGCCAGTTATAGTTGGTCTCTGATTGGTTTGTTTCTGAGCTCGGCCCTGAGTGATGTTTGTTGAGGAGTCTGTGGTGACACGCCACCCTCTGTTTGGCAGGCCTATCACTGTGAAGGGGTGCGACCGACTGTGTGTGTGTGATTTTGTGTGTGTGTGTGCGTGTGTGTGCACTCAGAGGAAGGTCTTCGTCTCCTCTCACTCGTAGCGCAGCCCAGCAGGTCTGAAGCAGATAGAGCAATATTTTCACTCCGAATCCCCGAACGCCGCAGTATCCCGTGTCTCGTAGCCCCGGCTCTGCACATGTCTAGCTCAGACCGTGTGGCTCGTCGATTAGCAGCGGGGGTCTTTCTGGTTCCCCTCAGCAGCTGTTGTCAAAGCAAAATGCCATGCTACAAAATACTAATGTACTCAATAACTGTACGTGGATGTATATTCATGAAAAATAAATTGGTAAAATGTGCAAGCCTTGGTCTGTCTGTTTCTTTGCATGTATAAATCCACACACCAATATTTGAAATAAATGTAAAGTTATTACCGGAAATTACCTCTGCAATATGGAAACTTTAAGTTTAGCTGTAATTGTCAATGTCATGATGGTCATGTGGTAATTTTTGTAAATATTTGTGATCATTCATTGAGCCCACTAGGTGGCAGCGCTGAGTTTAAATTCCCTAAAGTTATTTAGTTTGACGACTCAAATGATTGCATGTCAAACTTGATCATTTTAAGAGATCAAATGGTAAACTTGAGTAACCCATACACTTACCTAATGTTGCTAGAAAGATAATCTCACTTGTTTTAAATCTGCAATGAATGAAAAAAATAAAACCAGGAAAAACAAATTGCACTTATCCTTAATTGCTTTTTTTATTTTTCGTTTCAGTCTTATTATAGGAGATTGTAGATGCTTATTGATTTGAATCAAACATTACAGTAGTTTATTAGCACCGTTTTATATCTACAAAAAAGTTTCTGCCTTAAATTAAGTGCAATCAACTTGGATGTTTAAGTCATTTCAACTTAAATTACATTAAACAGACTTCAAAAGAGTTGAATCTTGTATAACTTAAAGTTGAAAGTTGCTTAACTTATTTTAATGAGCTAAAGCAATGTAAAAATTGCATAACCGAATGATCAATGTTTACAGGAAGGTTTAAATGTTAAAGTATTTCAATTAAAGTGCTTTGCTTTATTAATGGTATATATTAAAATTCTCTTTTTTAGTTATTTATAATAGAGCTGTTTTAATCAGAAATTTCTCATTTTAATGTTAGTTTGCATTTTATACTTATCGGTATTACTAGACCGTTTAAATTTAAACATATTAGTTTATTTAATCGATATATTCACGACGTTTAATTTTACATGATGCTACTGTCATATTTTAGGCATTTATGATATCTCTTTCTAAACGCGTTAGTTTTTGAATGTTCGCATTAATGCAACATAATTAAGATTATGATTCCCACAAATGTTGCCTAGGCAGACACCTCGGTTGGTTTTGAGACAGTCCATGATGAACTCGATTCTGTGTGTGTGTGCGCGCGCGTGCTGATGTTGCCGAGTTGAGCGCGCGTGCAGTGGGCGGTCCGCGCGTGTAAGAAAACCCCCGTGCGCGCTCTGTCCCGATCATCGCAGACCCGGGACATCCATCCGTCCGCCTACCTAGGCTACAGCCCCAGTCAGTCCCAACCCGAATCCGAACCCAGACCCAGTCCCTCACAGGCTCGTTTCATGCGCGATCTGACGAGATGCTGGAGTCCGGTGGCGGCGCGCGCGTGCTGAAGGAGGGCGCGCTGGAGAAGCGCAGTGACGGGCTGTTGCAGCTGTGGAAAAAGAAGCGCTGCGTGCTGACCGAGGACGGGCTGATGCTTCACCCACACAAACACCACCACCACCACCCCCACGACACCGGCTGCAAGGTGAAGGAGCTGCACTTCGCCAACATGAAGACCGTGGACTGCGTGGAGCGCAAGGGGAAGTACGTGTACTTCACGGTGGTGATGTCCGAGGGCCGAGAGATCGACTTCAGGTGCCCGCAGGACGAGGGCTGGAACGCGGAGATCACGCTCCAGATGGTCCAGTACAAGAACCGCCAGGCGATTCTGGCCGTGAAGTCCAGCCGGCAGAAGCAGCAGCAGCTGCTGATGGTCTCCTCGCAGAAGATGCTCCGAAACGCGCAGTAGGACGCGTGCGTGAGACCCGCGGAGCCTCTCCGGAGTGCGCGAGATCAAGGGACGCTCCCGCGTGGAAGCGCGTTGCAGGAGCGCGGAGCTCGCGGGCGTCAGTTCGGTGTCACCTTGTGCACTTGCTGGACGCGCGCGCAGACGCTCTTCATGCATTGAAAGACTGAATTATCGTCATATACCAGACGGGAATATCACCTCGGAGACTGTAGGGGGGCCGGGGCAAGTTGTCACACTGAGGTTTATTATCTAGCAGCGGTTATGCGTGTTGGTTTCAAACATCTATCTTCAATTATGATCAGTTTTGTGGATTCTGCCCTCCAAATAAGGACAGTAATATAATTGTGTTTTTTTTTTTTATCTGTAAAATCACGCTGGGATATAAGGTGAGAGGGAGCTATACAATGAAGGTAGATTTGAGATTGTATTCTCCAAAAATGCCAGGTTGGGGCAAGTTGTCACACGAGGAAATGAATTCAAATCCATGTTGGTCAATTTTTTTTTGCTCTTTGAATTGATGTTTTAGAATTATTTTATTTAGCTAAATTTAATGAAAGGTTCCCATTGTGACAACATGCCCCAATGCAGTGTATTTTCTTTTTGGAGGCTGTAACGGTGTAAATGTTCACATGATTTCTGAAGCAAATACTTAAAAGTCTGTATTTATACAGAAACTGCCTGAAAATACCCTGAGTGAAAGGTGTGACAACAAACCCTGGTCTCTCTCATATGTTTATGGGTTATAAATGTGAAATGCCTTTAGTGCATCACCGTTCATCTGTCTTGAACAGAAGTGCCATCATCACTTTCCACTACAGCGCGGTTTCATTTGTCAGTCTTGTGCGGCTCTGGACGTGTGATCAATATCTTCCAGGAGACCCGAGAGGCCAATTTGTCACGGTCCAGATCGCAGTCTGCATGTGTGTGTGCAGGGATTTTAAAGAGACCACCTGAGTGTCACACATCCAGTGGCAAACTGCAGACTCCTGAAACCCAGTGATCCTCTCAGATCCACCAGTAGAGATGCTCTCAGCGTTTGAAATCACTTCTGCATTTGATTATATAGCCTATTTATTTGTACATATATTTTGTAACTGGTCATTTGCATATCTGAATGTTGGGTTATGTCTCTTAAGTTACAGATGCATTTCAGAATCTCAGAATAAGCTTTTTGATTACTTTTTTTTAATTCATGTAACTGGTTTGGATGGAAGATTCACATTTGACCAATGCTGGTTTTGAAGATACATTATTGGTTCGCTTTGTTGTTTTTCAAACCAAAGAATGTACTTCATTTTATTGGGTGGATCATCCCAGATAGCAATGAGTCGGCGGACCACCGTCGGTTCTCCGGCGGCAGTAGGAGCGTCAGAATGGCGACATCGCAAACACGTTGGACGGCGCACCGCCGGCGGCAGCCGCTTTTTAAAAGCGGCAGCCGCCTTCCTACCGCCTTCGTTAAGCGGCCGGCCCGCGGGCCAACCGCCGTTCCGCCGCGCTTTATATTGAAGGCCGTCCTTCCGCGGCCCGCCGGAGGCAAACGCTATTTTCGAGCGCTCTGCCGCCGCTTATTCTGGCTATATATATATATATATATATTTTATTTATAGCATGCAGTTTATCAAGAATAATGATTGCTCAAACCAGACAAATTTACAATTGGCATTTTTATTCCACGTTTCAAAGTACAGTAACTGTCATTTAAACAAGATGTTTCAGATCACTGAAACATAACAGAAAAATAAATAAATCAATATACTAACATGCAGGTTTCCAATTCAATTTTGGATTCAAAAGGCTGCAATTACAACACTTACAATAAGTTTTCATATAAAAAGGACAGCTCTAGGGTAACAAATTACCAGTAAACATTATGACAAGTAAAGAGGATATTTGATACCAAATAATGTGCAAGATACCAAATAAATAAAAGTATAACTACATTTACAAGCCATTTCTAACAATATGATAAGTGGTAGTAATTTATAGTAAAGCTCTGGAGTAGAATAGGCCATTATAACGGCAATGCTGACCTGTGGCACAAGGATTTACAAGCTTTATTTGAAAAAGAAAAAAAGAAAGTAATTTCCACAGTGAGTGAGTGTAGTCTGACACTTCTGACTTCTTTAGGGGTCTTGATTCTACTGACTGCAAGATAAAGAAAGGATTCCAGTTGTCAGTGATTCTGGGGTGTCAGTAGTCAGTCTAGTTTTAAGTGGTCGGCTGTGGGTCCCTCTCAGCTGTGCGGCGCCTTTTTCTGCCTTCACGGTCAGATGCTCCTTTCAGGTAACGCGTAACGTTAACCTGGACCGCCTCATCAGTGCATCCTGGGTTGCCGGGTCCTTCCGGATGGCTAATATAGAAAATACAGATCTGTCATTTAATTTGAATTGCATGAGGACAATAGGACATACACATCTAATTAAATCAAAAAAAAAAAAATCCAACTTACTTTGAACAATGGTCTTCAGGAACATGTCTCTAAAACATGCTTTATCCCCTACACCAAGCTGAAAATCCAAAAAAGTGTTACAAATTACATTTCTCTGAAGCTTCTCATAAATAAATAAAAAATGTGAAAGGCTAAGGATTCAGACTGTAATATATGCAGTATACAATCTTAAATTTTACTTTATATCTAGGTCTACTACATGTACAGGTAGCCCCAGTGGGAATTAAACCGACAACCACAGGTGCTGTTTGCAAGTTGTACCTAATTGCTCAGTGCAAGCAAACGTCTTCAACATTGTTTGTTGAACTTGCTTCACCTGCTCTTGAAGTAAGATTTTACAATTCGTATTTTTATATGTAATATTGTAGTGTTTATTATAAATGATTTATCTGTGCACTTCATTATTCTTTTAAAATTCATGTAGCCTTATAATCTTTAATCAAATACGTTACCCTTCCCTCCCCCCTCGAAACGACTTCTCTTCCGGTCATGTGCTATGGCGCGAGGGCGTGGCAACTCCCCTCAAACCGTGCTATGAGCAGAGATGGAGAAGAGGAGCGCTAGAGTAAAACCCTGCCCTCCGTTCAATATACCGTTTCATTTTTAAATACGTCACAACACTGGAGAAAAGTCGTTTGTAACTTCCGGTTCATGCCGACTTCAAATAGAAGCAATAGTTTCCAAGACAAAAAAACTTCACAAATAACATCACTTACTTGTACTCAAACTCTTGGCTCTGTGAAGTGGAGTCTGGATTACTGGGGAGAAACCTGGTTGCGAGAAAGAGGAAACAGAAATTTGAAAATCTAACAAATGGTATAGTTTAGTGGCAGGATCACAAATCCAGCATAACAGCAATAGATTTTACATACCAGTTCAGCATTTTCCTGGTTTTCTGGAATCGATGCATCTTTCTAGAGTTTTTTTTCTTGAGACTTCCAAGATTCTAGAGTAGGGAATAATGAATGAAAGAGTCAGTTATCCACAATAAACAGAAAATAAATTACACAGATGAAATACAGGAAAATCAAATACACAAGTCAGACCCATTTACCTGCTCCCTTCATGAACTTAAAATGATGTTTCTCCCAGGTGCTGTGTGGAGGTGTGCAGAGGATGGCTAAATTGTTGCCTTCGTCTTTTTGCTGAGGTTAAATGGGGGCCAATGGCACATGCTCTCGCTGAGCCACTCTTGCGGAACCACTGCAAATGGCAGATCCTCCTCGTTGATAAACTGAACAATGTGAACCATCTAAAATAGAAGAACATTTTGCATAAATTATACTTTTTGATTAATTTCCAGGCAAAATCAATAACATTAAAATGCTCACCCCTTCAAAAAACGAGTCATTTTCACAAGTGGATCAACAGAAAACCATGTTCAGACAAACACAATCATATACATATACACACATATATACATATACACACATATATACATATATATATATATATACACACACACATAGTTATTTTTGTAAGAAAACACCAAAAGTTAAACTTTCTAGATGTAAAGCTTTCTTTCTAGATGTAAAGCTTTGGCGATCTACTGTAGCTAGATACATTTCAACATGTCGAACATGCTTGAATTCAGTGAGTAAAAAAGGCGAAGCAGCATGTGTTAGCTAACACTGTAAGTTAATCTAGACTAGCAGCATGGTTGTCGAATCAAACAAAACATCATTATGTTTAGTTAGAAAACAACACAAGTTATACTGATCAGTCTTTCTTGTTGTAAAGATTTTGCTAACGTTACCATTCCCACGTGGGCGGGAGAATTGTCCTTCAGGATTTGGTTACGTAAGTTAGTTAATTATTCGACTGACCAATACTATCTTAAACCACATACTGTAGTACTCACACTTGCATAAACATACGTAAATATAGTTAAAAGAAGAAAAGAAAAAACTAACGCCAGGAAGAAACTAAGTAACGTTAGCCTAACTAACGTTAGCTATGTCAGAAACATGACGAAAACTTTGTAAACAAGGCTAACTTACTAGCTTGACTAGTAAGGCAAGAACATATTTGAAAAAGCTGAACTAAAAATGTAAAAAATGAACATAATATTGCGTTACACAAAAAGGAAAAATGTACTTACTTTAAAGATCGTAGTCAATGACTAGATAGGATATCCTCTCCAAATACTGAAATCGTGTGACGAGTGGCCACTGTTGTGTTGGTAAATCTGCTTCCGTTTTTTAGGTACTGCCCCTCTCGGCCGGTGGAGGTACTTCTCTGTTTGTGCTTTAATACTTTCTTAAACATTTGTACAGATTGCAAAACTCGCAATTGCAAATTAATCCCTTACCTGTAAAAGGTTAAATAAAAATAAAAAAATCGAGCTTGTAAAAAAATGAAAGACATAAACGAAATTTCCTGGGGTGACAGAGAGACAAAATATTTCTAAATATTTCACTTTATCTTTCAGGTCAAAACAGGGATTTTCATGTTTATTATAAATATTACCATGGTTGCAAATTAATAAAAAAAATCTAAAGCATACCCAAGCTTTTGGCCAAGTTGCAGATGTCTTTCACTGTTCACTGATTTCAGGCATTGGTGAAAAGTCTAACTTCATCCATTTATTCTGCTAAATTGTTCATACCATGAATGAAATATTTATTTTAAAACCTAATCAGAATCAGAAAGATATTTATTGCCAAGTAAGTTTTACAAAAGGAATTCTTTTTGGACTATTTGTGCATCTCAATTGTGCATAAATCAAAGAAATGTAAAGAATTGTCACCTTAAGTGAATAAAATAATTCTATATATTTTACATAGGCCTATCACTGAATCGCTTCAGAGTTTCAACGTAATTTAAATGTATTTTCCTAAACCTTATCATGGAATCAGACTGAGTCAAATCTGTTATAAACCCTAATGACTTTGGAGCAACAACAATAACAAAATTTGATATAATTCACATAATAATTATAATCGCTTTAAATGTGAAAGTTAAAATGCTGTCAGTTCCACTCATGCCAATGACATGGCTGGTCGATTTC